CCTGACCGTCACTTACATTCTAACTTGTCTGCCGCATGTTGAGTACTTGATTCGGCGGGATCGCTAAGTCTGTTGCAAGAGTGTTGCAGTAACGGCATTTAAGTATTAACGGCGTTACTTTTTCAGTAACGGAGTAATCTAATGAAATACTTTTTCCCATCGTTGCAACGCTGTTACCGTTACTGAGAATGTTAAAGTGCGCGTTACTTGCGTTACTACAATGTGGTTGAATGAAATGCAGCGGTGTCAGGCTTTTCTACAGCCACACATCAGCTGTTCGGGAGCGAGCAGGGTGGTGGACACCGTTGGACACCAACTGCAAACACTCGTCTGTGCAGTGCTCATTTTGTCTGTGGTGAGTGGATGTAATATATTGTTTAGCGAGTAATGCTAGGCTGGTCGCTGTCGCTAAATCGCAAACTTAATTAAAGATGATAACATACGAAATCTTTTCAACAGTATTAATTAAGCAATCAGTGTGAATTGGTTATATATACTGTGTCTAACAGCATGTCAGTTTATCGTTTAATAAAAACGTGGTTACAATATCACAATAATCACATCAGTCATTAACGTTAGCTGGAGCGACTATGTTGGTTCAAGCTTGAACCAGTTAGATTTACTAGCAGTTTATTCACGGAAAACATACTACCACCAACTCTGGATTTTTGTGTTGATGTAGTCGCTTCATGTTACTATTAGACACGTTATGTAATGAGTTGATACCCAAAATTCACTAACTGATATTGGTAACTGCTACACAGCTTCTCAATTACGTTTGGCGCGTCTGCATATAGCTCTTCCGTTACCTGTATACGTTATGTTTATCATCTTTTTAATACCATAACAATATCTTCAACGGGCGAATTTTATGCGAACCTAATTTCAAGCGTATGCTCCAGCTAGCATAGACTAGCTCGCTAACTTGAGATGTGACCAATTTGCATTTACATCCACTCACCACAGGACAAACATGAGCCCACATGCACAGTGTTAGACCGCGTATAGGATGCTGTTTGCCATGTTACACGGTGTCCAACTATGGATAGCTCGATGGCCAACGCCCTAACGCTGATATCTTTCAACAGTTACTGCTTTCTTTCATGGCAGCTCCGGCATGATGTGGGTTGGCCTGTCAGAAAGCCTGACACGTGCAATTTCATTTCAACACATTTGGTTGCGAAAATTGTTGTCTTTCGTAGCCATTTACTTATCCATACGAACCGATGTAAACGCATCGTAGCGAGCTAGCTAAAATGTACCTGGGCTCCTTTACAATATTCGTTCAGTAATCGCGGGTACCGCCGTTCTTGCCCAACGATGGGCAAGGTAATCAATCGTTTTCATTTAGGAGTTTCTCCTGCACTATGAAGAAATGGCGGCTAGATAAAAGTAAGCGTCGCGGAAGATGATATACTTAAATGCGTTACTGGCGCCGGAACATGACGTACTATGCAAAAGGTTCCGAAACCTTAGCGATCTCCGAACAAATGTAATCCCATTGACATTCTAGTTCCAATGAACAATAGGTACCGCCATAGCGAGAATCTCCCGTGCAATGAGCGAGGTCCAACCATGTTTGAGCCAGGTACCAAAAATAATCTTACCATGCTTCGTATTTGCCAGTTCTATAATATACGGATCATTCTATAAAAATACGGTGGTACCCTAAAAATATAATTGCAATATATCTACTATAGTCATAAATATTCCCAGGCCGTATGTATTAATTGAGTGTACGTGAACGTAGTAGATTCGCTCACAAACCAAAAATATTTTGGTGTCGTGGTGTTGTCTTGAGGAGCTTTATGATTTGCTGGATTATGCAAGTGTGTGGTGGTGTAGGTTTGAGCTTGTAGTATGTGTCTTCAGATAAAGATTGTCGTTTGGTGTCCCCGTAAACTGTCAAATTGCACCGTTTCTTTTTGTGTTTGTGTTTGTCGTTGTGTGCGATGATTGGTGTGTGTAGTGATGTGGTTGATCTTACATGCCAGAATTGAGCTGAGTTTTCCATGATCTGTCTATCTGTTAGGTCTCACTACACATAGTCCGGCCTTTTTGAGTACCCAAAAATGTTTAAAGTAAATTGCCTTTATAAAGTCCGTAAAATGGTAATAG